ACAAGATCTCAGTCCTCCCGCTCTTTGTGCTTTTTGACTTTTTCTTTCATTTTATGTTCAGCCTAATCTCCAAGTGCACTTGCATTTGTCCAAGCAAAAGACCAGGCTCCCCAAAGACCGATATCCTAGCCTCTTGGAGAGAGAACACGGCAAAAAGATGCAAGAAAAGAAGAGAAAAGCTTACAGCACCTGGTATTCCCAGGCGGTCTCCCATCCAAGTACTAACCAGGCCCGACCCTGCTTAGCTTCCGAGATCGGACGAGATCGGGCGTGTTCAGGGTGGTATGGCCGTAAGCGATGACACAGGCTCCAAATGAGCTATTTGAACATGCTCCTGTGTGCTTCTCTCAATTAGAATCAGCATTTCACTTTCAGTGAACAATGCGGCGCTCAAGAAAACACCCGGATACGCAGTCAAGCTTAGTTTTACAGCCTATCTCTGCAGTCCATCATGCTCCACTCCTTTGCTCCACTTTAGGACAAGATCTCAGTCCTCCCGCTCTTTGTGCTTTTTGACTTTTTCTTTCATTTTATGTTCAGCCTAATCTCCAAGTGCACTTGCATTTGTCCAAGCAAAAGACCAGGCTCCCCAAAGACCGATATCCTAGCCTCTTGGAGAGAGAACACGGCAAAAAGATGCAAGAAAAGAAGAGAAAAGCTTACAGCACCTGGTATTCCCAGGCGGTCTCCCATCCAAGTACTAACCAGGCCCGACCCTGCTTAGCTTCCGAGATCGGACGAGATCGGGCGTGTTCAGGGTGGTATGGCCGTAAGCGATGACACAGGCTCCAAATGAGCTATTTGAACATGCTCCTGTGTGCTTCTCTCAATTAGAATCAGCATTTCACTTTCAGTGAACAATGCGGCGCTCAAGAAAACACCCGGATACGCAGTCAAGCTTAGTTTTACAGCCTATCTCTGCAGTCCATCATGCTCCACTCCTTTGCTCCACTTTAGGACAAGATCTCAGTCCTCCCGCTCTTTGTGCTTTTCGACTTTTTCTTTCATTTTATGTTCAGCCTAATCTCCAAGTGCACTTGCATTTGTCCAAGCAAAAGACCAGGCTCCCCAAAGACCGATATCCTAGCCTCTTGGAGAGAGAACACGGCAAAAAGATGCAAGAAAAGAAGAGAAAAGCTTACAGCACCTGGTATTCCCAGGCGGTCTCCCATCCAAGTACTAACCAGGCCCGACCCTGCTTAGCTTCCGAGATCGGACGAGATCGGGCGTGTTCAGGGTGGTATGGCCGTAAGCGATGACACAGGCTCCAAATGAGCTATTTGAACATGCTCCTGTGTGCTTCTCTCAATTAGAATCAGCATTTCACTTTCAGTGAACAATGCGGCGCTCAAGAAAACACCCGGATACGCAGTCAAGCTTAGTTTTACAGCCTATCTCTGCAGTCCATCATGCTCCACTCCTTTGCTCCACTTTAGGACAAGATCTCAGTCCTCCCGCTCTTTGTGCTTTTTGACTTTTTCTTTCATTTTATGTTCAGCCTAATCTCCAAGTGCACTTGCATTTGTCCAAGCAAAAGACCAGGCTCCCCAAAGACCGATATCCTAGCCTCTTGGAGAGAGAACACGGCAAAAAGATGCAAGAAAAGAAGAGAAAAGCTTACAGCACCTGGTATTCCCAGGCGGTCTCCCATCCAAGTACTAACCAGGCCCGACCCTGCTTAGCTTCCGAGATCGGACGAGATCGGGCGTGTTCAGGGTGGTATGGCCGTAAGCGATGACACAGGCTCCAAATGAGCTATTTGAACATGCTCCTGTGTGCTTCTCTCAATTAGAATCAGCATTTCACTTTCAGTGAACAATGCGGCGCTCAAGAAAACACCCGGATACGCAGTCAAGCTTAGTTTTACAGCCTATCTCTGCAGTCCATCATGCTCCACTCCTTTGCTCCACTTTAGGACAAGATCTCAGTCCTCCCGCTCTTTGTGCTTTTCGACTTTTTCTTTCATTTTATGTTCAGCCTAATCTCCAAGTGCACTTGCATTTGTCCAAGCAAAAGACCAGGCTCCCCAAAGACCGATATCCTAGCCTCTTGGAGAGAGAACACGGCAAAAAGATGCAAGAAAAGAAGAGAAAAGCTTACAGCACCTGGTATTCCCAGGCGGTCTCCCATCCAAGTACTAACCAGGCCCGACCCTGCTTAGCTTCCGAGATCGGACGAGATCGGGCGTGTTCAGGGTGGTATGGCCGTAAGCGATGACACAGGCTCCAAATGAGCTATTTGAACATGCTCCTGTGTGCTTCTCTCAATTAGAATCAGCATTTCACTTTCAGTGAACAATGCGGCGCTCAAGAAAACACCCGGATACGCAGTCAAGCTTAGTTTTACAGCCTATCTCTGCAGTCCATCATGCTCCACTCCTTTGCTCCACTTTAGGACAAGATCTCAGTCCTCCCGCTCTTTGTGCTTTTTGACTTTTTCTTTCATTTTATGTTCAGCCTAATCTCCAAGTGCACTTGCATTTGTCCAAGCAAAAGACCAGGCTCCCCAAAGACCGATATCCTAGCCTCTTGGAGAGAGAACACGGCAAAAAGATGCAAGAAAAGAAGAGAAAAGCTTACAGCACCTGGTATTCCCAGGCGGTCTCCCATCCAAGTACTAACCAGGCCCGACCCTGCTTAGCTTCCGAGATCGGACGAGATCGGGCGTGTTCAGGGTGGTATGGCCGTAAGCGATGACACAGGCTCCAAATGAGCTATTTGAACATGCTCCTGTGTGCTTCTCTCAATTAGAATCAGCATTTCACTTTCAGTGAACAATGCGGCGCTCAAGAAAACACCCGGATACGCAGTCAAGCTTAGTTTTACAGCCTATCTCTGCAGTCCATCATGCTCCACTCCTTTGCTCCACTTTAGGACAAGATCTCAGTCCTCCCGCTCTTTGTGCTTTTCGACTTTTTCTTTCATTTTATGTTCAGCCTAATCTCCAAGTGCACTTGCATTTGTCCAAGCAAAAGACCAGGCTCCCCATAGACCGATATCCTAGCCTCTTGGAGAGAGAACACGGCAAAAAGATGCAAGAAAAGAAGAGAAAAGCTTACAGCACCTGGTATTCCCAGGCGGTCTCCCATCCAAGTACTAACCAGGCCCGACCCTGCTTAGCTTCCGAGATCGGACGAGATCGGGCGTGTTCAGGGTGGTATGGCCGTAAGCGATGACACAGGCTCCAAATGAGCTATTTGAACTTGCTCCTGTGTGCTTCTCTCAATTAGAATCAGCATTTCACTTTCAGTGAACAATGCGGCGCTCAAGAAAACACCCGGATACGCAGTCAAGCTTAGTTTTACAGCCTATCTCTGCAGTCCATCATGCTCCACTCCTTTGCTCCACTTTAGGACAAGATCTCAGTCCTCCCGCTCTTTGTGCTTTTCGACTTTTTCTTTCATTTTATGTTCAGCCTAATCTCCAAGTGCACTTGCATTTGTCCAAGCAAAAGACCAGGCTCCCCAAAGACCGATATCCTAGCCTCTTGGAGAGAGAACACGGCAAAAAGATGCAAGAAAAGAAGAGAAAAGCTTACAGCACCTGGTATTCCCAGGCGGTCTCCCATCCAAGTACTAACCAGGCCCGACCCTGCTTAGCTTCCGAGATCGGACGAGATCGGGCGTGTTCAGGGTGGTATGGCCGTAAGCGATGACACAGGCTCCAAATGAGCTATTTGAACATGCTCCTGTGTGCTTCTCTCAATTAGAATCAGCATTTCACTTTCAGTGAACAATGCGGCGCTCAAGAAAACACCCGGATACGCAGTCAAGCTTAGTTTTACAGCCTATCTCTGCAGTCCATCATGCTCCACTCCTTTGCTCCACTTTAGGACAAGATCTCAGTCCTCCCGCTCTTTGTGCTTTTTGACTTTTTCTTTCATTTTATGTTCAGCCTAATCTCCAAGTGCACTTGCATTTGTCCAAGCAAAAGACCAGGCTCCCCAAAGACCGATATCCTAGCCTCTTGGAGAGAGAACACGGCAAAAAGATGCAAGAAAAGAAGAGAAAAGCTTACAGCACCTGGTATTCCCAGGCGGTCTCCCATCCAAGTACTAACCAGGCCCGACCCTGCTTAGCTTCCGAGATCAGGCGTGTTCAGGGTGGTATGGCCGTAAGCGATGACACAGGCTCCAAATGAGCTATTTGAACATGCTCCTGTGTGCTTCTCTCAATTAGAATCAGCATTTCACTTTCAGTGAACAATGCGGCGCTCAAGAAAACACCCGGATACGCAGTCAAGCTTAGTTTTGCAGCCTATCTCTGCAGTCCATCATGCTCCACTCCTTTGCTCCACTTTAGGACAAGATCTCAGTCCTCCCGCTCTTTGTGCTTTTTGACTTTTTCTTTCATTTTATGTTCAGCCTAATCTCCAAGTGCACTTGCATTTGTCCAAGCAAAAGACCAGGCTCCCCAAAGACCGATATCCTAGCCTCTTGGAGAGAGAACACGGCAAAAAGATGCAAGAAAAGAAGAGAAAAGCTTACAGCACCTGGTATTCCCAGGCGGTCTCCCATCCAAGTACTAACCAGGCCCGACCCTGCTTAGCTTCCGAGATCGGACGAGATCGGGCGTGTTCAGGGTGGTATGGCCGTAAGCGATGACACAGGCTCCAAATGAGCTATTTGAACATGCTCCTGTGTGCTTCTCTCAATTAGAATCAGCATTTCACTTTCAGTGAACAATGCGGCGCTCAAGAAAACACCCGGATACGCAGTCAAGCTTAGTTTTACAGCCTATCTCTGCAGTCCATCATGCTCCACTCCTTTGCTCCACTTTAGGACAAGATCTCAGTCCTCCCGCTCTTTGTGCTTTTTGACTTTTTCTTTCATTTTATGTTCAGCCTAATCTCCAAGTGCACTTGCATTTGTCCAAGCAAAAGACCAGGCTCCCCAAAGACCGATATCCTAGCCTCTTGGAGAGAGAACACGGCAAAAAGATGCAAGAAAAGAAGAGAAAAGCTTACAGCACCTGGTATTCCCAGGCGGTCTCCCATCCAAGTACTAACCAGGCCCGACCCTGCTTAGCTTCCGAGATCGGACGAGATCGGGCGTGTTCAGGGTGGTATGGCCGTAAGCGATGACACAGGCTCCAAATGAGCTATTTGAACATGCTCCTGTGTGCTTCTCTCAATTAGAATCAGCATTTCACTTTCAGTGAACAATGCGGCGCTCAAGAAAACACCCGGATACGCAGTCAAGCTTAGTTTTACAGCCTATCTCTGCAGTCCATCATGCTCCACTCCTTTGCTCCACTTTAGGACAAGATCTCAGTCCTCCCGCTCTTTGTGCTTTTTGACTTTTTCTTTCATTTTATGTTCAGCCTAATCTCCAAGTGCACTTGCATTTGTCCAAGCAAAAGACCAGGCTCCCCAAAGACCGATATCCTAGCCTCTTGGAGAGAGAACACGGCAAAAAGATGCAAGAAAAGAAGAGAAAAGCTTACAGCACCTGGTATTCCCAGGCGGTCTCCCATCCAAGTACTAACCAGGCCCGACCCTGCTTAGCTTCCGAGATCGGACGAGATCGGGCGTGTTCAGGGTGGTATGGCCGTAAGCGATGACACAGGCTCCAAATGAGCTATTTGAACATGCTCCTGTGTGCTTCTCTCAATTAGAATCAGCATTTCACTTTCAGTGAACAATGCGGCGCTCAAGAAAACACCCGGATACGCAGTCAAGCTTAGTTTTACAGCCTATCTCTGCAGTCCATCATGCTCCACTCCTTTGCTCCACTTTAGGACAAGATCTCAGTCCTCCCGCTCTTTGTGCTTTTCGACTTTTTCTTTCATTTTATGTTCAGCCTAATCTCCAAGTGCACTTGCATTTGTCCAAGCAAAAGACCAGGCTCCCCAAAGACCGATATCCTAGCCTCTTGGAGAGAGAACACGGCAAAAAGATGCAAGAAAAGAAGAGAAAAGCTTACAGCACCTGGTATTCCCAGGCGGTCTCCCATCCAAGTACTAACCAGGCCCGACCCTGCTTAGCTTCCGAGATCGGACGAGATCGGGCGTGTTCAGGGTGGTATGGCCGTAAGCGATGACACAGGCTCCAAATGAGCTATTTGAACATGCTCCTGTGTGCTTCTCTCAATTAGAATCAGCATTTCACTTTCAGTGAACAATGCGGCGCTCAAGAAAACACCCGGATACGCAGTCAAGCTTAGTTTTACAGCCTATCTCTGCAGTCCATCATGCTCCACTCCTTTGCTCCACTTTAGGACAAGATCTCAGTCCTCCCGCTCTTTGTGCTTTTTGACTTTTTCTTTCATTTTATGTTCAGCCTAATCTCCAAGTGCACTTGCATTTGTCCAAGCAAAAGACCAGGCTCCCCAAAGACCGATATCCTAGCCTCTTGGAGAGAGAACACGGCAAAAAGATGCAAGAAAAGAAGAGAAAAGCTTACAGCACCTGGTATTCCCAGGCGGTCTCCCATCCAAGTACTAACCAGGCCCGACCCTGCTTAGCTTCCGAGATCGGACGAGATCGGGCGTGTTCAGGGTGGTATGGCCGTAAGCGATGACACAGGCTCCAAATGAGCTATTTGAACATGCTCCTGTGTGCTTCTCTCAATTAGAATCAGCATTTCACTTTCAGTGAACAATGCGGCGCTCAAGAAAACACCCGGATACGCAGTCAAGCTTAGTTTTACAGCCTATCTCTGCAGTCCATCATGCTCCACTCCTTTGCTCCACTTTAGGACAAGATCTCAGTCCTCCCGCTCTTTGTGCTTTTCGACTTTTTCTTTCATTTTATGTTCAGCCTAATCTCCAAGTGCACTTGCATTTGTCCAAGCAAAAGACCAGGCTCCCCAAAGACCGATATCCTAGCCTCTTGGAGAGAGAACACGGCAAAAAGATGCAAGAAAAGAAGAGAAAAGCTTACAGCACCTGGTATTCCCAGGCGGTCTCCCATCCAAGTACTAACCAGGCCCGACCCTGCTTAGCTTCCGAGATCGGACGAGATCGGGCGTGTTCAGGGTGGTATGGCCGTAAGCGATGACACAGGCTCCAAATGAGCTATTTGAACATGCTCCTGTGTGCTTCTCTCAATTAGAATCAGCATTTCACTTTCAGTGAACAATGCGGCGCTCAAGAAAACACCCGGATACGCAGTCAAGCTTAGTTTTACAGCCTATCTCTGCAGTCCATCATGCTCCACTCCTTTGCTCCACTTTAGGACAAGATCTCAGTCCTCCCGCTCTTTGTGCTTTTTGACTTTTTCTTTCATTTTATGTTCAGCCTAATCTCCAAGTGCACTTGCATTTGTCCAAGCAAAAGACCAGGCTCCCCAAAGACCGATATCCTAGCCTCTTGGAGAGAGAACACGGCAAAAAGATGCAAGAAAAGAAGAGAAAAGCTTACAGCACCTGGTATTCCCAGGCGGTCTCCCATCCAAGTACTAACCAGGCCCGACCCTGCTTAGCTTCCGAGATCGGACGAGATCGGGCGTGTTCAGGGTGGTATGGCCGTAAGCGATGACACAGGCTCCAAATGAGCTATTTGAACATGCTCCTGTGTGCTTCTCTCAATTAGAATCAGCATTTCACTTTCAGTGAACAATGCGGCGCTCAAGAAAACACCCGGATACGCAGTCAAGCTTAGTTTTACAGCCTATCTCTGCAGTCCAACATGCTCCACTCCTTTGCTCCACTTTAGGACAAGATCTCAGTCCTCCCGCTCTTTGTGCTTTTTGACTTTTTCTTTCATTTTATGTTCAGCCTAATCTCCAAGTGCACTTGCATTTGTCCAAGCAAAAGACCAGGCTCCCCAAAGACCGATATCCTAGCCTCTTGGAGAGAGAACACGGCAAAAAGATGCAAGAAAAGAAGAGAAAAGCTTACAGCACCTGGTATTCCCAGGCGGTCTCCCATCCAAGTACTAACCAGGCCCGACCCTGCTTAGCTTCCGAGATCGGACGAGATCGGGCGTGTTCAGGGTGGTATGGCCGTAAGCGATGACACAGGCTCCAAATGAGCTATTTGAACATGCTCCTGTGTGCTTCTCTCAATTAGAATCAGCATTTCACTTTCAGTGAACAATGCGGCGCTCAAGAAAACACCCGGATACGCAGTCAAGCTTAGTTTTACAGCCTATCTCTGCAGTCCATCATGCTCCACTCCTTTGCTCCACTTTAGGACAAGATCTCAGTCCTCCCGCTCTTTGTGCTTTTCGACTTTTTCTTTCATTTTATGTTCAGCCTAATCTCCAAGTGCACTTGCATTTGTCCAAGCAAAAGACCAGGCTCCCCAAAGACCGATATCCTAGCCTCTTGGAGAGAGAACACGGCAAAAAGATGCAAGAAAAGAAGAGAAAAGCTTACAGCACCTGGTATTCCCAGGCGGTCTCCCATCCAAGTACTAACCAGGCCCGACCCTGCTTAGCTTCCGAGATCAGACGAGATCGGGCGTGTTCAGGGTGGTATGGCCGTAAGCGATGACACAGGCTCCAAATGAGCTATTTGAACATGCTCCTGTGTGCTTCTCTCAATTAGAATCAGCATTTCACTTTCAGTGAACAATGCGGCGCTCAAGAAAACACCCGGATACGCAGTCAAGCTTAGTTTTACAGCCTATCTCTGCAGTCCAACATGCTCCACTCCTTTGCTCCACTTTAGGACAAGATCTCAGTCCTCCCGCTCTTTGTGCTTTTTGACTTTTTCTTTCATTTTATGTTCAGCCTAATCTCCAAGTGCACTTGCATTTGTCCAAGCAAAAGACCAGGCTCCCCAAAGACCGATATCCTAGCCTCTTGGAGAGAGAACACGGCAAAAAGATGCAAGAAAAGAAGAGAAAAGCTTACAGCACCTGGTATTCCCAGGCGGTCTCCCATCCAAGTACTAACCAGGCCCGACCCTGCTTAGCTTCCGAGATCGGACGAGATCGGGCGTGTTCAGGGTGGTATGGCCGTAAGCGATGACACAGGCTCCAAATGAGCTATTTGAACATGCTCCTGTGTGCTTCTCTCAATTAGAATCAGCATTTCACTTTCAGTGAACAATGCGGCGCTCAAGAAAACACCCGGATACGCAGTCAAGCTTAGTTTTACAGCCTATCTCTGCAGTCCATCATGCTCCACTCCTTTGCTCCTCTTTAGGACAAGATCTCAGTCCTCCCGCTCTTTGTGCTTTTCGACTTTTTCTTTCATTTTATGTTCAGCCTAATCTCCAAGTGCACTTGCATTTGTCCAAGCAAAAGACCAGGCTCCCCAAAGACCGATATCCTAGCCTCTTGGAGAGAGAACACGGCAAAAAGATGCAAGAAAAGAAGAGAAAAGCTTACAGCACCTGGTATTCCCAGGCGGTCTCCCATCCAAGTACTAACCAGGCCCGACCCTGCTTAGCTTCCGAGATCGGACGAGATCGGGCGTGTTCAGGGTGGTATGGCCGTAAGCGATGACACAGGCTCCAAATGAGCTATTTGAACATGCTCCTGTGTGCTTCTCTCAATTAGAATCAGCATTTCACTTTCAGTGAACAATGCGGCGCTCAAGAAAACACCCGGATACGCAGTCAAGCTTAGTTTTACAGCCTATCTCTGCAGTCCATCATGCTCCACTCCTTTGCTCCACTTTAGGACAAGATCTCAGTCCTCCCGCTCTTTGTGCTTTTTGACTTTTTCTTTCATTTTATGTTCAGCCTAATCTCCAAGTGTACTTGCATTTGTCCAAGCAAAAGACCAGGCTCCCCAAAGACCGATATCCTAGCCTCTTGGAGAGAGAACACGGCAAAAAGATGCAAGAAAAGAAGAGAAAAGCTTACAGCACCTGGTATTCCCAGGCGGTCTCCCATCCAAGTACTAACCAGGCCCGACCCTGCTTAGCTTCCGAGATCAGACGAGATCGGGCGTGTTCAGGGTGGTATGGCCGTAAGCGATGACACAGGCTCCAAATGAGCTATTTGAACATGCTCCTGTGTGCTTCTCTCAATTAGAATCAGCATTTCACTTTCAGTGAACAATGCGGCGCTCAAGAAAACACCCGGATACGCAGTCAAGCTTAGTTTTACAGCCTATCTCTGCAGTCCATCATGCTCCACTCCTTTGCTCCACTTTAGGACAAGATCTCAGTCCTCCCGCTCTTTGTGCTTTTTGACTTTTTCTTTCATTTTATGTTCAGCCTAATCTCCAAGTGCACTTGCATTTGTCCAAGCAAAAGACCAGGCTCCCCAAAGACCGATATCCTAGCCTCTTGGAGAGAGAACACGGCAAAAAGATGCAAGAAAAGAAGAGAAAAGCTTACAGCACCTGGTATTCCCAGGCGGTCTCCCATCCAAGTACTAACCAGGCCCGACCCTGCTTAGCTTCCGAGATCGGACGAGATCGGGCGTGTTCAGGGTGGTATGGCCGTAAGCGATGACACAGGCTCCAAATGAGCTATTTGAACATGCTCCTGTGTGCTTCTCTCAATTAGAATCAGCATTTCACTTTCAGTGAACAATGCGGCGCTCAAGAAAACACCCGGATACGCAGTCAAGCTTAGTTTTACAGCCTATCTCTGCAGTCCATCATGCTCCACTCCTTTGCTCCACTTTAGGACAAGATCTCAGTCCTCCCGCTCTTTGTGCTTTTCGACTTTTTCTTTCATTTTATGTTCAGCCTAATCTCCAAGTGCACTTGCATTTGTCCAAGCAAAAGACCAGGCTCCCCAAAGACCGATATCCTAGCCTCTTGGAGAGAGAACACGGCAAAAAGATGCAAGAAAAGAAGAGAAAAGCTTACAGCACCTGGTATTCCCAGGCGGTCTCCCATCCAAGTACTAACCAGGCCCGACCCTGCTTAGCTTCCGAGATCAGGCGTGTTCAGGGTGGTATGGCCGTAAGCGATGACACAGGCTCCAAATGAGCTATTTGAACATGCTCCTGTGTGCTTCTCTCAATTAGAATCAGCATTTCACTTTCAGTGAACAATGCGGCGCTCAAGAAAACACCCGGATACGCAGTCAAGCTTAGTTTTACAGCCTATCTCTGCAGTCCATCATGCTCCACTCCTTTGCTCCACTTTAGAACAAGATCTCAGTCCTCCCGCTCTTTGTGCTTTTCGACTTTTTCTTTCATTTTATGTTCAGCCTAATCTCCAAGTGTACTTGCATTTGTCCAAGCAAAAGACCAGGCTCCCCAAAGACCGATATCCTAGCCTCTTGGAGAGAGAACACGGCAAAAAGATGCAAGAAAAGAAGAGAAAAGCTTACAGCACCTGGTATTCCCAGGCGGTCTCCCATCCAAGTACTAACCAGGCCCGACCCTGCTTAGCTTCCGAGATCGGACGAGATCGGGCGTGTTCAGGGTGGTATGGCCGTAAGCGATGACACAGGCTCCAAATGAGCTATTTGAACTTGCTCCTGTGTGCTTCTCTCAATTAGAATCAGCATTTCACTTTCAGTGAACAATGCGGCGCTCAAGAAAACACCCGGATACGCAGTCAAGCTTAGTTTTACAGCCTATCTCTGCAGTCCATCATGCTCCACTCCTTTGCTCCACTTTAGAACAAGATCTCAGTCCTCCCGCTCTTTGTGCTTTTTGACTTTTTCTTTCATTTTATGTTCAGCCTAATCTCCAAGTGTACTTGCATTTGTCCAAGCAAAAGACCAGGCTCCCCAAAGACCGATATCCTAGCCTCTTGGAGAGAGAACACGGCAAAAAGATGCAAGAAAAGAAGAGAAAAGCTTACAGCACCTGGTATTCCCAGGCGGTCTCCCATCCAAGTACTAACCAGGCCCGACCCTGCTTAGCTTCCGAGATCAGGCGTGTTCAGGGTGGTATGGCCGTAAGCGATGACACAGGCTCCAAATGAGCTATTTGAACATGCTCCTGTGTGCTTCTCTCAATTAGAATCAGCATTTCACTTTCAGTGAACAATGCGGCGCTCAAGAAAACACCCGGATACGCAGTCAAGCTTAGTTTTACAGCCTATCTCTGCAGTCCATCATGCTCCACTCCTTTGCTCCACTTTAGAACAAGATCTCAGTCCTCCCGCTCTTTGTGCTTTTCGACTTTTTCTTTCATTTTATGTTCAGCCTAATCTCCAAGTGCACTTGCATTTGTCCAAGCAAAAGACCAGGCTCCCCAAAGACCGATATCCTAGCCTCTTGGAGAGAGAACACGGCAAAAAGATGCAAGAAAAGAAGAGAAAAGCTTACAGCACCTGGTATTCCCAGGCGGTCTCCCATCCAAGTACTAACCAGGCCCGACCCTGCTTAGATCCGAGATCGGACGAGATCGGGCGTGTTCAGGGTGGTATGGCCGTAAGCGATGACACAGGCTCCAAATGAGCTATTTGAACATGCTCCTGTGTGCTTCTCTCAATTAGAATCAGCATTTCACTTTCAGTGAACAATGCAGCGCTCAAGAAAACACCCGGATACGCAGTCAAGCTTAGTTTTACAGCCTATCTCTGCAGTCCATCATGCTCCACTCCTTTGCTCCACTTTAGAACAAGATCTCAGTCCTCCCGCTCTTTGTGCTTTTTGACTTTTTCTTTCATTTTATGTTCAGCCTAATCTCCAAGTGTACTTGCATTTGTCCAAGCAAAAGACCAGGCTCCCCAAAGACCGATATCCTAGCCTCTTGGAGAGAGAACACGGCAAAAAGATGCAAGAAAAGAAGAGAAAAGCTTACAGCACCTGGTATTCCCAGGCGGTCTCCCATCCAAGTACTAACCAGGCCCGACCCTGCTTAGCTTCCGAGATCGGACGAGATCGGGCGTGTTCAGGGTGGTATGGCCGTAAGCGATGACACAGGCTCCAAATGAGCTATTTGAACATGCTCCTGTGTGCTTCTCTCAATTAGAATCAGCATTTCACTTTCAGTGAACAATGCGGCGCTCAAGAAAACACCCGGATACGCAGTCAAGCTTAGTTTTACAGCCTATCTCTGCAGTCCATCATGCTCCACTCCTTTGCTCCATTTTAGGACAAGATCTCAGTCCTCCCGCTCTTTGTGCTTTTTGACTTTTTCTTTCATTTTATGTTCAGCCTAATCTCCAAGTGCACTTGCATTTGTCCAAGCAAAAGACCAGGCTCCCCAAAGACCGATATCCTAGCCTCTTGGAGAGAGAACATGGCAAAAAGATGCAAGAAAAGAAGAGAAAAGCTTACAGCACCTGGTATTCCCAGGCGGTCTCCCATCCAAGTACTAACCAGGCCCGATCCTGCTTAGCTTCCGAGATCGGACGAGATCGGGCGTGTTCAGGGTGGTATGGCCGTAAGCGATGACACAGGCTCCAAATGAGCTATTTGAACATGCTCCTGTGTGCTTCTCTCAATTAGAATCAGCATTTCACTTTCAGTGAACAATGCGGCGCTCAAGAAAACACCCGGATACGCAGTCAAGCTTAGTTTTACAGCCTATCTCTGCAGTCCATCATGCTCCACTCCTTTGCTCCACTTTAGGACAAGATCTCAGTCCTCCCGCTCTTTGTGCTTTTCGACTTTTTCTTTCATTTTATGTTCAGCCTAATCTCCAAGTGCACTTGCATTTGTCCAAGCAAAAGACCAGGCTCCCCAAAGACCGATATCCTAGCCTCTTGGAGAGAGAACACGGCAAAAAGATGCAAGAAAAGAAGAGAAAAGCTTACAGCACCTGGTATTCCCAGGCGGTCTCCCATCCAAGTACTAACCAGGCCCGACCCTGCTTAGCTTCCGAGATCGGACGAGATCGGGCGTGTTCAGGGTGGTATGGCCGTAAGCGATGACACAGGCTCCAAATGAGCTATTTGAACATGCTCCTGTGTGCTTCTCTCAATTAGAATCAGCATTTCACTTTCAGTGAACAATGCGGCGCTCAAGAAAACACCCGGATACGCAGTCAAGCTTAGTTTTACAGCCTATCTCTGCAGTCCATCATGCTCCACTCCTTTGCTCCACTTTAGGACAAGATCTCAGTCCTCCCGCTCTTTGTGCTTTTTGACTTTTTCTTTCATTTTATGTTCAGCCTAATCTCCAAGTGTACTTGCATTTGTCCAAGCAAAAGACCAGGCTCCCCAAAGACCGATATCCTAGCCTCTTGGAGAGAGAACACGGCAAAAAGATGCAAGAAAAGAAGAGAAAAGCTTACAGCACCTGGTATTCCCAGGCGGTCTCCCATCCAAGTACTAAACAGGCCCGACCCTGCTTAGCTTCCGAGATCGGACGAGATCGGGCGTGTTCAGGGTGGTATGGCCGTAAGCGATGACACAGGCTCCAAATGAGCTATTTGAACATGCTCCTGTGTGCTTCTCTCAATTAGAATCAGCATTTCACTTTCAGTGAACAATGCGGCGCTCAAGAAAACACCCGGATACGCAGTCAAGCTTAGTTTTACAGCCTATCTCTGCAGTCCATCATGCTCCACTCCTTTGCTCCACTTTAGGACAAGATCTCAGTCCTCCCGCTCTTTGTGCTTTTTGACTTTTTCTTTCATTTTATGTTCAGCCTAATCTCCAAGTGCACTTGCATTTGTCCAAGCAAAAGACCAGGCTCCCCAAAGACCGATATCCTAGCCTCTTGGAGAGAGAACACGGCAAAAAGATGCAAGAAAAGAAGAGAAAAGCTTACAGCACCTGGTATTCCCAGGCGGTCTCCCATCCAAGTACTAACCAGGCCCGACCCTGCTTAGCTTCCGAGATCGGACGAGATCGGGCGTGTTCAGGGTGGTATGGCCGTAAGCGATGACACAGGCTCCAAATGAGCTATTTGAACATGCTCCTGTGTGCTTCTCTCAATTAGAATCAGCATTTCACTTTCAGTGAACAATGCGGCGCTCAAGAAAACACCCGGATACGCAGTCAAGCTTAGTTTTACAGCCTATCTCTGCAGTCCATCATGCTCCACTCCTTTGCTCCACTTTAGGACAAGATCTCAGTCCTCCCGCTCTTTGTGCTTTTTGACTTTTTCTTTCATTTTATGTTCAGCCTAATCTCCAAGTGCACTTGCATTTGTCCAAGCAAAAGACCAGGCTCCCCAAAGACCGATATCCTAGCCTCTTGGAGAGAGAACACGGCAAAAAGATGCAAGAAAAGAAGAGAAAAGCTTACAGCACCTGGTATTCCCAGGCGGTCTCCCATCCAAGTACTAACCAGGCCCGACCCTGCTTAGCTTCCGAGATCGGACGAGATCGGGCGTGTTCAGGGTGGTATGGCCGTAAGCGATGACACAGGCTCCAAATGAGCTATTTGAACATGCTCCTGTGTGCTTCTCTCAATTAGAATCAGCATTTCACTTTCAGTGAACAATGCGGCGCTCAAGAAAACACCCGGATACGCAGTCAAGCTTAGTTTTACAGCCTATCTCTGCAGTCCATCATGCTCCACTCCTTTGCTCCACTTTAGGACAAGATCTCAGTCCTCCCGCTCTTTGTGCTTTTTGACTTTTTCTTTCATTTTATGTTCAGCCTAATCTCCAAGTGCACTTGCATTTGTCCAAGCAAAAGACCAGGCTCCCCAAAGACCGATATCCTAGCCTCTTGGAGAGAGAACACGGCAAAAAGATGCAAGAAAAGAAGAGAAAAGCTTACAGCACCTGGTATTCCCAGGCGGTCTCCCATCCAAGTACTAACCAGGCCCGACCCTGCTTAGCTTCCGAGATCGGACGAGATCGGGCGTGTTCAGGGTGGTATGGCCGTAAGCGATGACACAGGCTCCAAATGAGCTATTTGAACATGCTCCTGTGTGCTTCTCTCAATTAGAATCAGCATTTCACTTTCAGTGAACAATGCGGCGCTCAAGAAAACACCCGGATACGCAGTCAAGCTTAGTTTTACAGCCTATCTCTGCAGTCCATCATGCTCCACTCCTTTGCTCCACTTTAGGACAAGATCTCAGTCCTCCCGCTCTTTGTGCTTTTTGACTTTTTCTTTCATTTTATGTTCAGCCTAATCTCCAAGTGCACTTGCATTTGTCCAAGCAAAAGACCAGGCTCCCCAAAGACCGATATCCTAGCCTCTTGGAGAGAGAACACGGCAAAAAGATGCAAGAAAAGAAGAGAAAAGCTTACAGCACCTGGTATTCCCAGGCGGTCTCCCATCCAAGTACTAACCAGGCCCGACCCTGCTTAGCTTCCGAGATCGGACGAGATCGGGCGTGTTCAGGGTGGTATGGCCGTAAGCGATGACACAGGCTCCAAATGAGCTATTTGAACATGCTCCTGTGTGCTTCTCTCAATTAGAATCAGCATTTCACTTTCAGTGAACAATGCGGCGCTCAAGAAAACACCCGGATACGCAGTCAAGCTTAGTTTTACAGCCTATCTCTGCAGTCCATCATGCTCCACTCCTTTGCTCCACTTTAGGACAAGATCTCAGTCCTCCCGCTCTTTGTGCTTTTTGACTTTTTCTTTCATTTTATGTTCAGCCTAATCTCCAAGTGTACTTGCATTTGTCCAAGCAAAAGACCAGGCTCCCCAAAGACCGATATCCTAGCCTCTTGGAGAGAGAACACGGCAAAAAGATGCAAGAAAAGAAGAGAAAAGCTTACAGCACCTGGTATTCCCAGGCGGTCTCCCATCCAAGTACTAACCAGGCCCGACCCTGCTTAGCTTCCGAGATCGGACGAGATCGGGCGTGTTCAGGGTGGTATGGCCGTAAGCGATGACACAGGCTCCAAATGAGCTATTTGAACATGCTCCTGTGTGCTTCTCTCAATTAGAATCAGCATTTCACTTTCAGTGAACAATGCGGCGCTCAAGAAAACACCCGGATACGCAGTCAAGCTTAGTTTTACAGCCTATCTCTGCAGTCCATCATGCTCCACTCCTTTGCTCCACTTTAGGACAAGATCTCAGTCCTCCCGCTCTTTGTGCTTTTTGACTTTTTCTTTCATTTTATGTTCAGCCTAATCTCCAAGTGTACTTGCATTTGTCCAAGCAAAAGACCAGGCTCCCCAAAGACCGATATCCTAGCCTCTTGGAGAGAGAACACGGCAAAAAGATGCAAGAAAAGAAGAGAAAAGCTTACAGCACCTGGTATTCCCAGGCGGTCTCCCATCCAAGTACTAACCAGGCCCGACCCTGCTTAGCTTCCGAGATCGGACGAGATCGGGCGTGTTCAGGGTGGTATGGCCGTAAGCGATGACACAGGCTCCAAATGAGCTATTTGAACATGCTCCTGTGTGCTTCTCTCAATTAGAATCAGCATTTCACTTTCAGTGAACAATGCGGCGCTCAAGAAAACACCCGGATACGCAGTCAAGCTTAGTTTTACAGCCTATCTCTGCAGTCCATCATGCTCCACTCCTTTGCTCCACTTTAGGACAAGATCTCAGTCCTCCCGCTCTTTGTGCTTTTTGACTTTTTCTTTCATTTTATGTTCAGCCTAATCTCCAAGTGCACTTGCATTTGTCCAAGCAAAAGACCAGGCTCCCCAAAGACCGATATCCTAGCCTCTTGGAGAGAGAACACGGCAAAAAGATGCAAGAAAAGAAGAGAAAAGCTTACAGCACCTGGTATTCCCAGGCGGTCTCCCATCCAAGTACTAACCAGGCCCGACCCTGCTTAGCTTCCGAGATCGGACGAGATCGGGCGTGTTCAGGGTGGTATG